CAATTGTTTGCCAATACGACTTTTCAATCGTAAAATGGGAATTTTTGCAGAACTTAAACTGGAGATTGATGAACCCAGTACAAGGAGTGGCATCGATTTCCTCACCGAAACTACCACCTACAATTCCCAGTCCTCTGTGCCAAGCACTTCGCCCACGTCAAGCAAAAAACGGAAAAAACGAAATGATAGCAAAAATTGATCTGCTCCGCTATTACCAGCGCGCAATGCCAAAGCTGTATAACATTTACAGCGTCGTAGACACAAAACAAGAAACCAATAGGGAAAAAGTTATTATAGTACAGAGGCTCCCTTGTCACCCACGAATACTCGCAAATATCGGATGTCCGAAGATCTTACGCTCATCCAAGGTTTCCTGAACAGTATGCTGGAACCCCAACAGAAGCAGTTGAAGCATTCGGCCTTGGAGAACGGCTAGACAGCACATCTGAATCAACACGTCGTAGACCATTTAAAGTTATCCTTATCAGTAGCCAGCAACCCAGGCTGGTTCTCTCTAGGCGCTTTAGGATAAAAGGTTCCAACCGTGGTATTTTGTCTTAATATGAATTCTCACCTGCGAACGGCGGAAACGTTGTCAACACGTTAGCGAACTGATACAGAAGTTGAGCGAAAGGGAAACGAAATCAAATTAGTCACAACAACCAGGAGATCCAGCGTCAACCGTTTTTCCTCGGACAGGTCCTTTCCGGATGACCGCACAGTCGGCCCATTAACGAAAGTGCCGGGCCCTATTATAATAACATCCTAGGAAAACCGCAAGCTCACATTCAGGAACACCAAAGCGCAGATCATATTATCGAAGCTCAACCAGTTGAAGACCCATATCTATGAATTGTCTCAGAATGTAATTTCCTTAACCGAGACCTGATTATCGCAACATAGATCTGGCAACCAGTTGTCTATCTCTCTCACAGGAGGGCCCAAAGTAGAAGGCGTTCTAACATACGTAAAAAGTAGACTCGTAGTTTAAGACAAAACCGATAAACTGGTGTGTAGTTGCGAAACGATCTGGCTATAAATTAAAGTACTAAGTTCATCAAGTCCCGATGTCCCGACACTACAAACGACCGAGAAGGGATTCCGTAGTTGATGTTCGTTTGCTTGAGGAGGTAGTGAAGCTTGCTACCCGGTCAGATATCCTGGTCGTGGGTAATTTCAACACGCTTCACTTTGACTAGAGTTCGGCCTACACACTTGGCTCTGATCTGGCCCGTGAAGTCTGCGATCCCTTCTCCTTTTCGACCTAGCATACTATACACTCAAGAGTGACAGTTTTTCTCCTTAAAAAATAACAAGGCCCGTTTTACACTGTCTGCTCTTTTTCCCTTTCCTCCATCGCATTGGCTCGTGTCACCTGACCTCGCCAACAAGATCAGGTACTATTTTTATATCACAAGACGCGTGTAAAAAATGGTAAATTCAAAGGTACACACCTATACTTACTTCTAAAAACTCATACCAACTCCACCAAACTGCACCAGGTTATCCAGAAGAGGTTGCTATTGCGGTCTAGAGAGAGCTATAAACTGGCCAGGATTAAAATTAGGATGAGGTACTGGTAATCGTGGATTGGAATCACTTTGATTGGAAAATTTAACCAAAGCTCGGAGTTTGGATTGTTTCTGCAAATGGACGGCTTCTAATAGCTAATATGTTAAATGACCCGCTTGCAATCTACCGCATAAGCAATCACACGGCAGTCACGTTGCTTTCATTCACTAACGTTATACTGCTCACCAGAAGTAAGATTTTATTATTTATTTCGGATGTCAGGGGTAACATATTACTCAGTCTGTCTAAATTGCAAATCACATTTCCCAAAACTCTGGAATACCTTCTGTGTGAGAGATGCGTTCCACTGGAATTTAGTTTACTCTAAACAAAACTAACACCCTCAAATGTGTGTAAACCTGGCCCCTCAGATGTTGTTAGCAAACGTTAAGTTGGTCGTCCACCTTCGATATCCATGGTCCCAGAGTTGTCTCTTACGGGACCAACGGTATTAGTTTAGTTTTTATTTTATCAGTCAATTTACTAATTTTATTTTATTTCACTTCAGTTTAAATTTAGTTTAGTTCCTTTTGTTTAGTTATGTTAGGTTGGTTAAGTATATATTAGTTAGTTCAGTATATTAAGCTAAGGTTGGTGGTTTATAACAATGCCAAAACCAAAAACTGAACTAAACTAAAACTAAATTATTTAACTAAGTTGAAAAACACTAAAATGTTAACCAAACTAAGACAAATTAAACTGAAAGTTGCCGCAGGACAAAAGGCCGGGGCTATCTAAGGTGGACGATCAACTTAACTTTTACTTTTTTATTTTTTATTTCATTAGATAGATAACCCACCGTAAGGTCCATGGTATTTGACGCAAACCCACCTAAAACATGAAGAGGAAAACTTTACTGTGGAATACTTTATTGTAGAATGAAACGAATTAACGATTTAGAAATACTCCCATTAATCAATGATTATATTCAACATAAAATATGCCCCCACTAGAATTTGGATTACAATGATGGCCGTTTTTCACTCCTTTTCATAAATCGGGCAATTGAAATGATCTAATCAGCAGTATCTGTTGTCAAACTTTTCAGTTTACAGCGCATACTGGGTGTTTTGACAGAACAAAAGTAACAAATTAACAGTTGGCTCATTTGACGATGTCTGCATCGAAAATACTCTGGGCTTACCGAATTTTCATTGTCATCGCCATCAAAATTTCGATGAAATGACGCAATCAAGCATTTTAATCAGCCTTAGACGTTTTGAAGTTTAGAGCAGGTGTTTGTATACCAATATAATGAGCAAAGGTAATTCATTTTTAAACATAAAGTGCAGGCACAAAGTAGTGCATAATGCCGAAATTTAAGAAAGATTGATAATCACTCGCAAACCGATGTTAACGCATGCACGAAGGCTTCGAAATAATGTGAAATTTTAAGTAAATTTGCAACTTCAAAGAAATATAAGGAGTGTTTACTGTATGCTAATAAAGAACAAACCTTTTAAAGCGTACTGAGGTTGCGCAAACGTGAGAACTAGATATAAATTAGACCAATACATTTAAATATAGTCTTCAGCTGAGAGCACAATCCTGCCATTTTCGTTATATCAAAGACGTTTTTTCCTGAACTTTTCTATACAGAGTTCAGGTACTATAATAAGTTTCAGATCGACTTTAAAATTTTGGTGCATTTTAGCCAATTTTCACTTTTTTTAAACCTTCTCCCATAAATCGACATTATATTTGATTTGTTTATCAAAACAATTTTAATAAGATATTTCTTCAAAGCATTGAACAAAACCGTGAATTTTCAAAAATTTATTGTTGTGAAGATAACCGTGTGTGCAACACAAGAGAACACATTGTGCGAAAAAATTCGAGGTCCAGATAAAATATTCCTTTCATCATCCCCGAAAGAGGAAGAAGAAGAGACAATTTCTGGAGTACAGACACCACGCTCTGACGATGGAAGCGAGCACGCTTTAGAAACGTCAGCCAAAATACACCTTGGTCCCAGAAATCGTCTCTTCTTTTTCTTCCTCTTCCGGGGATGATGAAAGGATGAAGTCATTGTCTAGCAAAACACAAACGTTCACAAAAGGAGTTGAATAGTGTTATGCCTAAGATCAAACCAAAAACCTTTCAATGATAGGTTGCATCTTAAAAATGTACTTTAATTTGATATTCAACTGACAAACATCTGTAAATGTCACTTTTTTGAGCTAATTTTAAAATGAAAATGGAGAATGATGACCAGTTTTTTAGATTACATGAAGATAGCTGACACCATTCTGGCTGAAAATTCAAGACTTCACTTTTTTATGTTGGAGTATTTCACCGCCATACTTGATTACGTTGGGTCTCCACCATAAGGTTGCGAATGCAAAAATAGTCCCCCAATATATACGAAGATTGTGCTGAAAAATGTTTATCTTCGGTCTGTACAGTTTCCAAATTAAACATAAGCCGAAATTATATTTAACAAAACCCTATTTCTTAGACAACAATAGCTTTAGATTTAATAAGATTTTTAATAACATAATTTCCACAATAATACATATGCAGTTTTAATTAATTCGCAAATGGTTGATACGGTAAAAAGAATGCGATAAAAACTTTTTGACGGCGTTTTGGGGCGAAAACTTCAGATATTGGCCAAAAATATTTTTAAATCTGAAATTGTTCCTTTTGCCAATATGATAGAATATGCGAGTTCCAGGAAGCAGTTCAGAAGAAGAAGCAGAAGAAGCAACAACTTGATTAAGAGTTTTATTGTCCTAACGTTTCGGATTCCGTCCGCAATCCTTAAGCATAAGTAATCGTAGAAAAGTCTGAGACATACACATATAAGGATGATACATGCACAGATTGTACGGCATTTATAGTTCGTAGCGGTCATCAGCATGGAGGCTTACTCCTTTAAGTTTCTCCATGAATTACGTTGACGACCTGACTGCTGTGTCTGAATCAGCGGTCAAGAATTAGAGCCGTCGGAACGGCCACTTTACCAGTCCCTAGGTTGGAGTGCCTTTGAGTGATACAATTGGCCGGGGGGGGGGTGGAGTGCGCCCTCCTTGTGCACCTTGAGGAGACCACAGAAGCGGGCCAGGGCCGTTTCGTGCACCCTCGCCATGCGGTTGGATTTGCATGGGGCGTAGGACTGACGATCGTTTAACAAAGTTTCAGCTTTGTGAATGTAGTCTATCCTATCCAATACGACAGTGGACAGCCCCTTGTCCGCCGGCACGATAACGAGGTCATTCTCCACTCTGAGTTCTCTAAGTGCCTTACGTTCGATCTTGGAGAGCGCGTCGCGTGGTCGATGTGCCATGAGGAGGGACGACACCTGATGACTTATAAGGTTTTTCGTTTCGTCAGTTGATTCTCTCTGGCTGAGAATTGGTTCTATAGCAGCAACCATTTTAGCAGGTCTGGCATCAGCTGTGTTGAATGAGGTTTCATGCCTTAACACCTCCATTTGTTCTTCCGTCAGCTTTTTGGATGACAGATTGTGCACCAGTTTGTCATCTTTGGACGAATTTGGACGAGGTAGCTTAAGAAACTTAATTTCAAGTGCTGCCTCTCGCTTTGCTTTGTGGTCGGGGGCTCTTTCGGCCACCATCTGCTGGAGCAATTGTGTATCATTCTCACCCATGAACTCAAAGCACTTTGCCGTCTCTTCGTCCATCCTCTGACGGTACTTGCGAAGCCTCACGTGACAGTCTTGAAGGATCATTCGAATCATACCTCTGCCGTGCAGAACTTCTTTGCGTCTCGCCAACTCTGTATTAACCGGAAGTCTATACGAAACACATTTCATTCTTCTTGGCCTTCTTGGATGTCTTCGTTTGCCGCAAGAACGATGATAGCCTAAAGACTAAAGTGTTCAGGAAAGCAACCAACACTATGCAAGTCCTGAACTACAACAGCAAGCAGCCTATCGGTCAAAAACATAGCTTCGTAAGGGTGCTTTGCTGATGCGTTGAGACGCGTTGCAGCGTAGCGGAAGACAAAGTTGCTGAATTACAACATGTTCGACGGGTATTGAGAGCGAATGATTACCAGCGCAGTTTTCTCAAATAATGCATACGCAAACAAGAGAAGAAGCCACATCCAACTGGCCCAAATATTTGGCGAGCTCTTCCGTACGTGAAGAATGTATCGGAAGCGTTTAGGCGTCTACTCACCCCAGTTGGTGTTGGAGTTGCGCACAGACCAGAAGCTACCATCAGACGCCGGCTCATGAGACCGAAAGACCCATTGTCACGGCAGGAAACGGCTGAAGTCGTTTACCGGAGCTGCTGTAGTTGTGGAGAAAGTAACTGCGTCGGAGAAACCGGGAGATTACTCCGGACGCGAACGGCCGAGCATGCAGCGGCGATGAGGGAAAAAAGCCGTTGCAGCTCACTCGACGGGACCCGGCCATATTTTCAAGTTTGACGAGGCCGTCTCCTCACTGGAGGTGAAAACCGCGTGAGCCGCGAGCTGCTCG